ATGAATTAACACCACATCAATTTTTCTTAGACTCGTTAATGAGGCAAAGGACATATTGTTCCTTGTCACATTACAATGAGTGATAAGAAATGATACAATCCTGCACAACAACTTTTTCATATTAATATACTGAATACATTTTGTCATATTTCCAAATATTCAATTTGCATGATGTTGTGTAACCCAACTAGCTCTCAGCTGTGAAACGTTTCCCGGCGCACATAAATAACAGCCGTGAAAATACCGATGATGAACTTATCTAGGATAGATGGTTGATAAACAATTATTTGTTTTTATTTAGATAAACGTTGCTATAATTGATTGCACAATAAATGTTTTTACAGTTTGTAAGCTAAATGTGATTTATACTGTTGTCTTGTCCCGCCAGCCGATAATGTATAGAGAAGATCAATATGGGTCTTTATTTCTTATCATAAGTGACCTATAACTGTCTAAATACCAGTTGATATCTCATATGGTAATCAATTAATTGGAATTATCTTTAAATGTCATCATACTCTGAGTGTTTGGTAACAATACCGTATGCTATCCGACACCAGTTGGACTCTTCGGTGGGTATTGATTACATGACCACCTCAGCGACCCCTACATATATCCATTTCATAGCGGGAGATAACTCCATGTCATTTTAAAATGTCATCGCCTAATTCACAGTGGTATTTATCGATATGATACCAACATCAATTTTGACTCGCATTGGTGTTGATTAGAAACATAAACATTTTCACGTATTCTATATTTTAATTAGAATGTCTCTCCTATCCAAATCTGTCATTTTCCCAATTGTTTTAGTACAGCACTTAAAAAGTGAAACAAATGTTTACGTATGAAAAGGGGCAACACACAGCATTGTACTCCATATCATCCTAAAGTAGAAGTAACAGTATCCTGAGATACTGTGTGAAGTATTAAATAGGCTCTAAAAGCAGTGATTAATATCTTGATGATTTTATTACATTGATGAGAATGTAAAAAAGATCATCAAAGATTTTTTTTTATTCCTTGAATATCAATATATCAATACAAAAGAATGGTTTTTCCCAATGGAATCCTACTTGAAAGGTAAGTGATATTCTACTGGAGTCTTTGATATGAATGAATTTTGATAATCAGTCATTTATCAATTTCAGATATTTGTATTTAAGAGTTAATTAAGAAAAAGTTAATCGACTAGACGTCTGTGGTGTTCAAACTAAATTAAAAGTACAGTTACCTAGGTGCAATATGATATCCGGATACCTGATGTTATCGGGTTTCTGGCATCGATCCAAGTCAAGCTATAATTGTTTTCCGAAACTGTGAACTGGATACGGCAGAGTGTATTAGCTTCTAATTAATTGTCTTTCCTTAATGCATTGGTTTACGACATTATTTTCGCTATATGGTGCATTGTTCTATTGACCGGAACCAAAATCAGAACATTAAATTGTTTCACTTTGGAAGCAAAACCTCGCTGTAATGTTATAAATATATGATTACCACACTATGATAATGTAAGTCATTCATGCACGTGTTTGTCAACAGGATTCGATCGCCTACCACTCAATGTATTTTTATGAAATTCCTATCCGATAACTTTGTTGAATTCGGCATAATGATTAAGTAGTTTTCCCGCATTCTCGCATTCTCTTAAATCAGGCAAATCAGTCATGTCCACCAGTGTCGCAGGAGAAACTTTGATATAGTTAAGACGTTGTCTTCTAAAGGTTTGACGAGTTTCCGTGTAATGCAGCATATATATTTTCTGCATGATACATAAATAGTAAATGTTCAACTTCATCATGGCTATACTGTATCAAGCATCTTGAAAAATACGCTTTCTGTGGTATTTACCAAAAATACTTCATTTCTACTCGTTTTACCTTTGTGTGTTCTGGGGACGCTTTCTCGTCCCAAACTTTTTATTTTGCCTTCAGTGTTTTCGTATTCTTGTTTTGATGTTTCGGTCCTGTTTAGGTGTTTTAGGTCTGTTTTTAATGAAATTTTACAATATAAATGTATTGTTATTTTTATATCGTGTTGATTTCATATCACCAGAACATATCGTATTGGATGTATATATCAAGATAAAGGCACTAAATTGCAGCAAGGTCGACGCAAAAAATCTCACTCCAATGCATTCATGTTTTTTCTTTCTTTAAGAAATGGTGATAAAATAATATACTTTCTTAACCTATCCCCTTTTACCCCCTTTTCCCTCTCCTACATGAGATACCAGGTCTAAGGAGCGGCTGTGGGTATTTATGTAGTACGGTCATCATCCTTTATGTAATCAGACTACGTTGGTTAATGCCACTGTAGTGAAATTGATTAGTGTAATCTGCAATCTGCACTATAATTTATTTTCTACAAGTGTCCTTTGAATATCGAATTGGCGGTCTGCGCTTTCGGGTTATGCAGACATCAAATATTTGTAAATTTGCTGGGGATATTTACTAACATGAATGAGAATAATTATAACGCCTGCATTACGTCAGTTTGTTTAACATTTAAACTCTCATACAAAATCCGATCCAATTACTGTTTGTCTAGGAACTGTGTAAATTATGGTAGTAGCGGCATATTGTTAAATAAACACAAAAAGACCATCGATCAGAGTACCCGTAATGACAGTGTGGCAATATTCTTGATGCCAGCTTATCTGAGTGATAAAGTTGAAAGTGTCGTCCAGGGAAAATAACATTTTAGTTTTAAATTCAATGATAGAAATACTCAATATTTAAGATATTTATAGACGTTGCAATGAAATTGCTATCTTCAGGCAGATAAACCTGAATTGAAAATGGATGGAAGAAGTATTCTTTTGGTTGTAATCCGATTGGGCAGTTTCTTCTAGATTTCAGCATTTCAGGAACCTAGCATCACTGACGAGTCAAATTGTTCGCGAGAATGTATGGGTGATATTAATCTGTACTTGCACAGTCCTTGTATAGTTGCTAAACAATCCTTCATTTGTGTTTTACAACCATTAATTATCAGCGACATCATCAGTGTGAGACAAAAAGTATATGCTATCCGATACATAAACTTTTCAAACACAATTAAAACTCGTCCCATAAACGTCCCAAGCCGTACAGGACCCGTTGAGTACAGACTTTTGATTTCTTGAGAGAGATGTGACGCAAACAAGTCAGATGAACTGTTACGGCAACGTCAAAAGAGATTTTTAAATTCCCCCATTGCAAGTCCCGCTGATTACGTCTCTATCCATTGTCATTTTACACAACCCTATGGCACAATTGTGGTCTTAAGGAATGAGGTATTTCAATATTGAGATTTCTGATGTATTAAAATTAATTCAATAAGTATATATTTGTTATTACTTACTAAGAATTTGCCATGCATTAATGAAACGATATAACACATTTGTAAAGAAATCTTTGATCAAGATCGACTAGATGTAAGCAGGGCAAACATATGTTCATTTCATCAACATCATTCAAACTAACCACCAGGACACGACACGGAGTTAATGTATACAAAGAACTACCAGTTTGGAAAAATAATATTTTCAGTACATGTTCTCTTCCCAAGGATAAACACTTATTATTCAACAAAAACGTAAACGAATAAAAACGAAGCTTTAGAAATAGGCACTTAATATTACATCTCTTATCACTTTGACGTACTATCATATGCATTGGTCTTCGTGTATGGCTTAATTGAGATATAAATATTGATTATATAATCTAGCGATTCTATGGTTATTTCGATAGAACACGCACATGTGGAGTAGCTGATGATCTCTAGAATTATGCACGCGCACCTTCGTGACAGAATATTATGCATTTTTTTGCACATTGCTCTTTTGGTGTCAACCCATCAGGTATCTGCTTCTGATGTCATTGCTTCATTACATATTCAAGGTTTTAACGACATAGTTACGGTTTTTTCATTTATGTTTAAAGAGTTATTCGGTTTTATACCACATTATGAAACAGATAATGCATATATACAATTAAATCTACAAACGTTGTGTTCAAAGTACATAAAACGATGAAACGCGTATTAAATTACCAGCTGATTGAGTGACTTAATTATGTTCCGCTATCTTACGGAATGGCGTACCATTTAGCGGCTATCCCCAAGCACGGTGAAGAAATTAGGTCACGGATATATAAACCTTATACAACTAATTAGATATTTTGTTCGATATCTATTCATCTTTTCGCAATATGATTTTAAAGAATGGTTTTAATATGTTCCGAGGTATAGTCTGACATTTTTAAGTGGTCGATCAACCAGACCTTCAGCAGTTTTGTCTTGCTTGAGAGAATAATACCGATATTTGAACTGTATGTGTTACACATCTGGCGTTATTCCAGTTTCTGCCAAAGTCTTATCAGACTCAATACAATTTAGTTGAATGCTTCTCTTAAGTTTGAACAATACTTTCCTTCTTATCATCATCTGGATGAATATTATCGCTGATTCTCTCCCTTCATTCGTATTTCACCAGACGCCTGATAAAACATGGTCTAGTTTGATACTACATTTGGTAGGATTCAATCTACAGATAACTCAACCTATATCTTACATAAAACTGGACAAAGTATATTGTGACGGTATTTATGGATATATTTACGATGAATACTATGTTAATGTTCACAGACTTCATTATTGTTTGAAGAAATACAATGGACTGAAGATAAAACAAAAGATATTATGTATGTGAACCCACTGGAGACTTTTACCAATCATAGACCTTCAGGATTACTTTTTTACCATAACAATTCACAACGTATGTGAAGTATTTCAGGAGATTGTCATTCTTCTATTTTTGGTTCTACTTTTCAATGGCTGTTGTAGCATAGATTTTCATTTCGGCTTTTGTCCTTGGATGCTGAAATTAAGAATATTTTTTTCAATTATAATAATATATTTTTATCATATGTTTTTCAGACAGATCAGAGGTAGATAATGCCATGTCGGAGTCTAGTCTGTGCCACTTCCTTCCTGCCCATTAAAACAAGGGAGAGATGGGATCGGGATTTAGTTCCGTGTGCTCCAGCAACAGGTCTGTGGTTATAGCTAATAGTGTTCGCAAAGTTAAAGATCGTGGTAGTGTACCATCATTACGGCCACCATCAGATCACCTTCGCCCAAGTGTCCCAGGCAAACTTCGACCTTGTATTTCAAGGGATTCCGGCATCGTAGAAAACGAAATACCACATGGACAGAGTACGGACTGTTCAAGATCTGGCAGCGATTTAAACATTCAAGAAGACGCCGGAGAATCGAGTGATTCTGACGAGACTGTTTACTCTGAAAAGGATTCCACGCATAAATCTAGACCGCATTCATGTCGCCTGGGTGATCGTCGACGAAAACCACAAAGTTTAAAGGATAATGACCAATCTTTTGTTGCAGAGGACAGACTTGTTCAGTATTTACGAGCAACTCGTAGTTTAGGCACAGAAGGTGACTTTGATGAAAATGTTCCTAGTAGTAGAGTTGAAGACAATGAAAGCGATGATGCTGACGATGATGATGATGATCATGACGACGACAACGATAGCTTTTACGGAAATTGCAACCATAACAGAAAAAATCATAGTAGAAATTCTCATAAACGAAAGGGTTCCTCTAGGTTAAGAAGTGGTAGGAGTGTAGGTAAGCGGAGCAGCAATACAACAGGAAGTTACATAGATAGTGATTTAGATTCAGAAAATTATAGTGATTCGGATATTTGGACAATTCCGGACGAAACAGGAATGCCAAGTAAAAAATCTGATGACAGGAATAGAAAAGGATGGGTCACCAATGAGGACCGGAAGTCGTTTGATAACTATTCCTCTTCCGGTTCAATGACACCGACTCCAAGATCCAGTCAAAGTCAAACGCTTGATTACTACAGAATAGTAAGTGACAGTTACAAGCGTTATGGTGCAAATCTTCACAAGAAAGCCAGCGAACGCTCCATATCCAGTATAATACTAATGCCGATTGCTGACTTGCGTTCTCCCACTAACATGGAATGGTATCATGAGCCATCTAACAGCTTGCCAACCCACCTCCAAAGGGTGAGTGCTACACCGGCTCGTGTAGAAAATCACCCTTGTGGTAGAATGCTTATATATATATTTCTCTGTAGTGTGTGTGCCCTTGCATGTTAAAAAATCAACAAAACAAGATTATAGCGACCTCGTACTCCTAACTATCCTTCTATGAGAATATATTTCTGGGATAATTTATAAATTGTCATTAAGGGTTCGCTATACAGTGTTTTTATGTAAAAACATTACTCTTGATTGGATGATTGGGCTGATAAAATATCACAGAGATCTCAAGGGGAAAAACAAAAAAGTTGAGTAATGACTTTAGATTGTATCGGCTAGTTTATCCTGTGAAATTGAAATATCATATAAAAATCAAAATTTGAATAAGCCAATAACGTTAATTGCATGCATCCTTTTTTCTGTACTATTTTCTTTTGCCATTTACTTTTCTCAGTTTTATGTGTGAATGCATGTTTTGGTATCTATTTTTATGCACCACGCCTCTTTTCCATTGCATGTATTTTGACGTGAGTACTACGAGGCATTTGTTTTACTGATATTCATCGTTGATGTCGTTTCATACAATTTAAGATTCAATATATTGATTGTATTTATGAAAATATGATAAGATATAGACATAAAATATTGCTTAACAGTACGTAGAGGTTTTTCAATCATTTCCCTGTTAATATCATATTGCATGAGTAAGACAGGCCACAGAATACTCTGGAAATATATATTTAACGGGAGACAATAGATCTTTTTTTTCGTTTTTTTTTTTTTTTTTTTTTGGGGGGGGGGGGGGGGGGATGGGGGATTGTCTCCGAAATGAAAGGTGGGAAACAATAGCTTATTATTTGACGTTGGATAATCACGACGTTACATTTTTCATCATTTTTCGTCTGTCAATGTCTATTTATTACCGTGTAAAATTTGCTGAAAAAATCCACTTACAGAACCAATTAATTTGCCACTAAACATGTGTATCTGTGAATTTCATTGCTGTGAATATAAGCATTATTCTGATTGGTCAAAACTAAAAAAAATATCTATGTAATCATTGAAATCATTGTTATACGTACAGGTGGGGGTGTTCGCCATAATTAACGGAGTTAAGTTTCAACTAAAATAACTAAAAAGAAACACGAAGTTTCACATTAAAACGTTATTTGGAGTTTTGGTGAAAAGAGCAGCAATAATATTTCTCAATATGTTCAACAATGTTTAAAATATGTATGTAGATAAATTATGAAATTCTAAGAAATGCAGTCCATCCCACATAAAATCATTAAAACATGGTATGGTAATGGTTCTTAAAATTAACATTTCTTTATAATGTTATTTATATATTCCAACCACCAACAACATATATTGAAGTATTCACCTTCTTTTAAAGACAGGTTACCTCCCCTTATTTAACAATCATGTAGTTGGTTATTGGAACCTAACCAAGACTTAACCAGCGTAACAATGGGACAATATGCCACCCATGTTCACGATACCGCTTTATTTAATATTAATCTGAAGATTAGTACCAAAATATTTGTAAATGTGTACATATAAAAGCAAACAAGACACAAATTCGCCTGTCGAGTACTCAGAGCAGGTAGAACAAGTTGATATATATAAAGTTTATTACGAAATACTTTCAAGTGCTGTACTTTAAATCCAGAGTATGTTATTATATAGCGTTAGACTATTGCTGGTATCACGCTTTACACTAATGGGCTGTATTGTATAATCAAGGACGATATACAGTACCTTATAAGGTAGATTGATATGTCAACTGACATAAAAATGTATATATCAGACCTCAGTTTGACAGCTCTGCATGACACAGTATCTTCGTAAACTAAAACTTCTTGGTTGTGATAGAATAGTATTAGCGGTGAGGACTGGTGTATTGAACAGTACATAATCCATGGATAATTTCTGTCGTGGTTTTAACACAAAACAATGTTTTAAGGGTTAAAAATCTTTAGCGGATGCCACTATCTTCAAACTTAATTGATTATCTGAAGTTTTATTCGTTGAATATAATTTTCGTTTTTTACCACGAAAACAACCAAAGTCTCTATAGATATTTAATATTATACGTCACATCCAACACTGAAGAATATACCTAAAACATATCTATATCTATATATTTTCTTATCTTCTACTATACAACTACTTTAGGGCTTAAAATGTTAACTTTGTCAATAGATATGAAGGTGTACGTGTCCTCCGTGGTCGGAGTTACTCTTTAATGCTGTTATTAATGAGTTTTATAGGCCCGACACGTGTTCCTACCCTTGTGTTCTCTCCGAAGTTCGAACACATCAGCTTCAAATTAAAACGTGGTATAAACATAAGTAAATAAAACATTTAAGGAAGTAAGCCATTTTAGTTTATGTTTTGTAAATATTTGTACGCGAAAAGGAGATACTTCTCTTTCATCTAAGATTAGATTATTTAACTTCTTCCACTGAAGAAAGGTAAATAGCAAATATGTACATGCCTTAACAAATATATATCAGCGATCTGAGCAATTAAGACATTTATCGGTGAAGTTAAATAAACATCGGAGAAAAAAAACCGGTCGAACCTTTTCTCGGTGAAAGTCTGAATGATTTTTATGCTGCACTTTACAACCGAAATATTCCAAAAGATTCGTATATATGACGTCAATAAGATAACGTTGCCTGGTAACATGGTATACAAGTTTCTAGCGATTCTAGGAATGACCAAATACAATAACGTCAACCTGATGTGTAGGTGATATCGAAAACGATAATAATGACGGATACAGTTAAGATTGTTTGATCACACTGTGTGCAGCTTAAACAAACGTGAGACGGTCACTCTGAAAGAATATGCAGCTAGGTTCTGAGTGTTTTACCTGTGTAGCCAAAGTCAGGTGTGCTTAATTATTGATGGTTAAGAAATAACTTACGTCGCATTGCAGCTTTTACGGATGTAATTTAGCATTGTCGTGTTATCAACTGCCGCAGAAATAGATAAAAATGTGTTTAATCACGTACAATACAAATTTAGCGTCATCAATCTGTCTATCTGTCTAGACTTTTTAATATCAGTTATAAAAAATCAGCTACTGTGACGTCATGCCAATACGAGAGTATTTGCTTGTCCAGACAGTGGATTGTATAAATATATAAATAAAAAAAATCTAATTCACACCTATATTTAATAGTTGATTAAAATGCATACCTGCTTTTGTAACATTACGTGTTCTTATAAACCTATACACCAATACGTGTACAGATATGGATACTAATCTCAACCAGTTGGGTTACTATGTATTTAAATACTCGACAGTGAAAAATATGTATGCTAAGGGTAAGAGTTCCATACATGGTAGCTTAAGGATGGTTCAATAGGTGTATTATTGATTAAAAACAGAATTTCAAACAACAAATTCTACGCTATAAATTCAATCAGACTTTTGAGCAAACTACAGGTACCTACATAACCTTTACTTTTACTTCCATACTCATCATGTTAATGATAAGTGAGATTTGTACAGATTTTTTGTTGCTACAAAGTAACTAAAAAATACGCATTTCCAACTCTTCAATTTTACCAAAGCTTACTCAATGATAAAAATACTTTGGTGGTCCATTATACACAGTACACAAGGAAAACAAACGTTAACATTATGATGTACACATTATAATTAGAAAACCATATACTACTAACTGAAATGTTAAATATCTTACCAGACAGATGGTCACAATTTGTCGTGCAACTGATCCAAACAAACAACACTTAAACAATACATATTTGCATAAGAATAAGTAAGTAGTGATAATAGTGCTTCCTAACACTATCTTTTTTGTCCAAACTGTATAAAATGTTCTTTTATCATAATCATAATGATGGGTTCTTTTTATAAAGGCATAAAAAGGTGTATTTTTGCGATTTTTATCGATATTGATATTTCATGTGTTGAAGTTGAAACAGACATCTATTGATTTACAAACTGTAATTAGAAAATGTAAATATATATATATGTGTGTGTGTTGTATGTTAAAATGGTAACAAATACATCAAACGACAAAGTATGTAAATATTGACAGGATCACCCTATCTTATTCGTGTTATATCACACACATTGTAACTGACATTAACTTCACCAACAATCGGTAATTCTAGTGTAGGTACAAGCGAGACTTTCAAGGCTATATCGGCTGTTCAACATGCATATCAAATACCATTTCCTGGTGGTTTGTTTCAGACCATTGTTGTATAAAGATACGCTTATGTACTGATGTGTTTCCCGCGTATCTATGACAGGTATAATGCGTGTTAGTGATGTACTGCTCGCTGTACCATTCCAATATCAGCACGACTAGAATTATAACAATACAAAACGTCTAGGTTATTGTCGAGATGTTACAAGTATGGTGAACTGTACAAAATGGAATATCGACATTTTTGCTACAAGTAATAAACGTATTCGATACAACGTACCTATGACAGCATTATTTGTCAATCTAGAATAAAAATTATATTTAAAAAAGATATATATATTGCTGTAGCACGTCAATCAGAAGTCAGATGAAACAGATTTATAGATATCGCATAATAAGTATTACCTGAACATCAACCTATTGTTTAATTCAGTTTTCATTGCCAAGCAGATTAACCATCATCGATTTTAAATGAAATTTTAATACATGCGCATGCTCATAGGAAGCTGGGCAGACAGTGTGATTTACGTATAGATCTGTGAATTGTCTTTGGGTTCCGGTGTAGTTGAAGGGAATTGGTGCACTATTTTTTGTTAACAATCATTTCACAGGCGGTAATGTTTCATACCTATATATTATTGATTATGATTACCTACGTATGTCACGTAGCACTTGTCTGAAGGGTCCAAATCATGGCTTATTTGGTGAGTTAATGGTGTATTTTATTACAATTTCTTTAAGATTTTCAGATTTATTTGATCACGAATTTGATTAATTATATTTGATAGTGTAGTGTTAGTGTTATTAAACATGATAATCAAAGACTTTTGTTTATCGTATAAATTGTAGGTAAAATAATCACACTTTCCTTTAACTGCGATGAACGATTCTAGCATGATATTATACAGGGGATTGTTTTGATATCGTATTTCATTTTATCATGTATTACCGGGTATGAATTTAAACTGTTAATTTCTCAATGTTTTAATTACGGTGACTGTCTATCAACAACTTACTTGATTATCAATTACACAGAGAATGGATGACCTCGTTGAAGCGTTTTTGGATGCCTTACAAGATCGCCATGAACAAGGAGAGCTGAGTCAGGCCGAATACGAGATTATCATGAGAAATCTGCGTCATCAGCTTGTCGATTTCGTGTTTACCTGTATATCTAACGATATAACCCCACGCGTAGAAATCCAGGTATTGCTTTATCACAAAGTCTCTTGTGAAACAGATGATCATGAATGTTAATTTTAATCACTTTTTTTTTTAGATAAATGCATAATTTATGCCTAATGAAAAAAAGTGTATTTGATTCGATTTTCCTATCTATTAGTTGGGTATAATTATCTATTTGATTAAATCTATAATAATCCAATGACGAAAATATGTCTTTTAACTTCATTGTATTTAGATAAAAGAAAACTGCACTATCGAAATACATTTTATAGTTAATTAAATGCTTAAATGGATAATATACTTTTGAATTTCAATTAATAGCAATTGATATAACGCATTGTAGATTTTAAAAACGCTTGCAGTTTCTGATACTATTAACTTCTTAAACGTTTTTGTTCTTTTTTATTTAAGCCTTTATTCTTAATACTGTTTCAGTCTCAAATAGTACTGTAAATCTATATTGCTTTGATTCAAAGACCATTGTTAAAATTTTAAGTTAAACTTAACCTGCATTTAATACGTGATTAAGTCTCGGGCCGATATTTAAACACTATGAAACATAAGCTAGATAGACGTACATACGAACGTCATGCTAACTGAAATGGAATCACTGTATCAGAAAGCACATACATTTAGTTGTTTTATGTAAACTCAGATAAATCAGTGTCACAAGTAAGGTAAGTACTTTTTAATCATCTGCATGTTTAATAACTTTTATTTATGAATGTGACTTGATAGCTGGTTTTCATTGTATCAGGAATATTATAATACCGATTTCAGGCCAATACGCAGTCATTGTTTTCCGATTCGGATGCGAGTGGTAACCGCCCGTGGACGGTAGAGATACAACTGAAGCCGTCTGACGAAGAGGTGAGACAAAACTCAAATAATCAAAATGGCCGCTACAGGAGAATGTTGTAGTAACACATTAAAGTGAAAAATTTAGTAACGTAATAATATGGAATATTTGTATCTTGGTGGTGGTTTGAATCCGAGTATTTAACACTTAAATAATATCGATTGAATAAATCTCTTTGTGATTTGTTTGTTGAAATGACCTATGGCATCAGATTAAATTTCGCCATTTTCCTCCCGACTACATTCATTTTTTTTCGTAGTGTGGTTTCTCGGAGTCTATTTCCTTATGACAATAATAGTTTCGTAATGTCAACACCTTGAAAAATACTCAATACGTATGTGTATGATTATGTAAACAAGGACATTGTTATCTCACACGTTGATAATCTTAAAACGAAGTGAGGCATAGCATTGTTCCTATTCTTTCCTATAGATAAATGCACTCTAATGTTACTCTTGCTCCCACTCCTAATAATTATTGTACGTTCTATGAATAATTCTGCTGATAACCATTCGTAAAAAAAGAAAACTATACATATAAGGTTTCTGCAAATATTAACGAGATTCCTAGGGGACAGTGGGTAATGAAAGGTGTACTATAGAAACAAATCATTATTATCATTTTCATAATATAATAGAAGTCATGCTTCATAACCTAATTAGATAATGAATTGATCCTTGGGTATTACAGATGTTTTTGCTTGCGGGGTTTGTCAATCCTTCTGTTTGCTGCCAATACGTTTTAATATAAAGTGGTATGTATACTTCAATGTCTAATTGCAAGTCTTGTCATTTTAAGATACTCCAAACATCCGAAAAACAACTCGCTCGAAAACTGGTACAAAAGGGATCTCAAATCACCCGTGACGATATATCTATTTTACTTGGTGATCACTTGAGGACCATAGAACAGTTACAGCACGTGCGGGATTCTGGTCGTCTGCAACAAGCTGATGGTGTAGAAGACAAGCACCGTCTATCGTCAGCACCGTCTCCTAGAAAAGGTTCTGCCAACATGAGTTCGAAAAGGAAGAAAGTTCCTAGCAGTGCTCCAAACAAGTCGAGTAGATCAGAGAAGGGACGAGTTAGTAGTAATAGTAACGTCCTCACAAACTGCCTCCGTCCTCAAGCCAAGGACGACGACCTCCCGGGCAGGGTTCAGGTTTGCACGGTCAGTGGGGGATTCAGCAATGAGGAGGACAGTGATAGTACGATCGAAAACCTCTCTGATTCTGAGATCAAACGATCCTTCAGGAAAAGTGCGTCTCTGGATGAAAAAAGATTCCGTCAAAACAAACATTTGGAAAGCGTATGTTCCATTTTGTTTTTTTTTACATTTGTTTTGAATAAGTACTTTACCTTCAGTCGTTAGTCAACTTCCCGAATGCCATTGACACAATTTCATGTATTTGCAAAGTTTTGTATTTCATCAAGTAGATTGTATAGAAATGCTTTCATAAGCAATTTCATTATTATCTTCACTCGTCACTAATACCAATCTATTCAGTAGTAAACTTTTAAATGTAATTAACAATGCCTATTTAAACAATAATGGGGTATGGCATTACAAAAATCGACACAGTTCTGAACTAGATTCTCATGTTTTATGTAAAGTGCATCACACTGATCCTTGTTAATTATATGGTTGATCTGTTCACATCAAAGTGGGATGTGAAAAAGAATAGACGTGTATTTAGTCAGGTATCACTACTTAACCAACGTTCGATATGACATTATCATACCGACTAACAGTATCAAGCCAAGCATGACCGCCTATCCTTGTTAACTGTATAGTGCTGGGGAAAAAACTGTTACGTATTGAATTATAGATTGGTGTCACAGTGACTGAATCATTGATCTATCACTTTGTCTATGTAGGCATTTGACGAGAACGAGCTGTCCCAGAGAGTAAGTGGACAGATATGGGATAAGTGGAGGACTCTGCCCGACGAGGATTTCAGCCTCCTTATATCGGAGAGTAGAGATCGCTTTATTCAGACTTATGGCCAGTACTTAGAAGAGCCATCCAAGGTAAGTGCACATAATGATACGTGTTATGAATGTTTCATTAATATAATCTTTGATACGTTGAATAGTTGCAATCAGCATGATAACATTTAACTTTTGATTGTTTGTTTGTTTTTAATTTTATTATTATCATTCTTTTATATGATGTAAATGACCCATTATCAGATATTGATGCAATTGAAGATCGATTACCAAGTCTGGTATTAGCAATATACTTACTTAATTACGATACTTGTCTCGATTTCTATTATTGCTGCTCTTTAAATGTAGTTTTAGACGTTTTAGGTTCTTGAAAATCTGTGAGTTTTAAACAGATTAGGTTCCGTTGCTTACCGTGTGAATGTTTTCTATTAAAATTCCTTGTAACAGTTAACACTTAAAAGCATACATGTGAATTAAATAGAATCAGTATAGTAAGGGACGCAACTCGTGCGAGTAAATTATAAAAAAAAAACCGAATTCAGTTTGATCGGCTGAATGTCACATTCAAATTTATTATTATTTAAATGTACTTTTTCCATTGGATGTTTTTAATCTATGTGGTTATTTCAAAAGTTTGTCTTTTTCGTCTAGAAACGTGTTAAAACTCTTTATATACGGAATTCTATGAACTCCTTTAACATGAGCTTTCATTCATTTATGTTCACATTAATAATGCTGACGTGGCTTAATTGGAAATAGAAGTCAATTGTGCAGTATCTGTTTAACTTTTTTATTTGATTCATTTTCTACATTGACATGTTATTTGATTTAGCATTTTACCGAGCATTTTACGGTTGGTATCAGTGTGCCTTGAGGGCTGTCATGCTTGATTTTAATCTGGTGCCAAAAAAGACGACAAACTTCTTTAAAATAAATTATCTGTTATGGCAATCTCATATTGCATATCTGAACGGACGAAATAGTGATATAAAGCATTCCTTATTCACTTTCTTTGACTTTTTACAATGGTTGAATTGGTTTAAGAGTGCTTAATATTTCTTATAGTGCCACCGTTTTCCTTTCGTCATAATTTTTCAGTGTTAAAAAGAAAACATTGTCGAACATTAGTTTTGAAATCTTTAAGCTAGAAATGTTGTCTACAATTACAATTATTGATATCTTGTTAACGACTGTACACCGAAGATTGATATATATATATATGTATTACTAAACACTACCATTACAGGACTGGCACCAAATACACGATTGTCAATGTTCAATGTCCTCGTTTTACAACTGACAATATTTAAGGTTCTTGTTAAACGACCCTTCTTGTATGATGTGTACATAAGGATATTTTAAAGTCATATCTATCGGAGTTGTATACTTGTATTGGTCGGTTTTTCCAACCTGTTTTGGATTTTTACTATGTTTAATGAATAGAAACTGTTCTGACAGCAGTATCATCTTATCGGTATATTTCATTTCAAATAATAATTCGCTCTATTTTTTCACTGTCATGAGTCTCCAAAGGACATTTTTATTGAAACATTTTTAAACAAAAAATTTAATGTTCTGCCTGGTACAATGGTTAAAATTCACAGTCCTGCTTCGTCAGTATTCAGCAACAATCACAGGAATTATTTTGATTTCTTTTATTTTTCAAATCAGTAGCTAATGTAGATTTATAACTCGTGGAAAACATCTTGTGATACGTTTAGGAAATAGAAACAATTTGTCAAAGAGGTGTCTAAACCCCGTCGAGACTTGTTGACACTCTGTGCCTCGTTTGACCCATATGTTAATAACATAATCACTACCCGTTGGGGAGCACTCACAACACGCATTACTTATCTACTCAGTATCTTTGTTGTGGTTCAAATCTTTGACAAAGTTTGAAACGTAAAAACAAACACACACATTGATGTCATGAAGGACAAGTTAAGGTCGTGCTGAGATGTCGAGATTAGCATAATCAACAACACTTAAAAAGATAGCAGTGTATATCTGATTAGATGACATGGGAAAATCAATCATTTTCTTGCTAGCGGATGTAGTTGTTTGTTTTTATATCTAGGCAGATAGATGTAACCGATTAATGGTCTTTATTCGAAGTAATTTCTTAACTGCCTATAACCTAGTCTTTTGTTTATTTTTTTCCCATTCTAATTTATTTACATTGTCGCTGATTTATAGCGTTTGTCATAGACAAAGTCATAGGTAATCTATCAATGAGCAACGCAAAACACGGCCTCCCTAACGATCCCTTATGTCGAATCAAGAAATGAACAAGCTTGTTTTTTCAGCTATAAACTTTACAGATTAAGGTCATCCTGAAAAATTAGGAGAGATAAAACATAACATGAGATAAAGTGATATTACTGCCATACAGACATTAACAAAACAAGTGGTGCAGTTTATGAAAGTTTTCAAATTTACTTATTTTAGCTTCATCCATCCTTATACTATAGAGTAAAAATCTATTTCAAAAGAAATTCGATTCCATGATTATTTACATTTTGAAATAAATGCTTCTAAGAGAAGCTAATATATTCTGCTCAACTAATTAAAAATAAAAACAATCAGTGGACATCTATACATTGTTTATGGTACGCTTTTAAATTGTGCATACTTAATCAATCAGCCTTGTGAAAATATCAGTATTATATATATATGCTCAATCATAATAAATATTTTCATTGCTGTTGAAATATACATTTGTTATATTCGGACAACCTTTAGAAATGCTTTAATTTCATTGGTGTCTTTGGACAACCATGTGTCAAGTAATCGTGGTTTTAACGTGTCACTGTCAACGTGTTCGAGTAGTTTTTAGATCAACACACATTAAGGTGACAGTGTTTGTGTCATGTTTAAGCATTGATAAGTAGCAGCATTGCTGACCAAAAGCGTGTCATGAGTGGTCTTTGAGAGTGTCCAGTACCTCGAACTGACCATTACATTTAACTGTTGTGCCAACAAATGGCAATTAATTACAAGTGTTGATATAGCTGACGATCAGCTGGGTTCTGAATACACTGAGAAATGTCTGTCAGAACTTTTCGTTATAGATTTATCACAGATGAATTTCATTTCCATAAGTTCACTAAGGTGAAGTTAAATGTATATTTCGATGGCGGATCTTAAAGCGTCACTTCCTTACTGGTTGATAAGAATTCAAAGCTTATACAGAAACAAACAACATTAACAAAAACCGCAAAGTTTCTTTATCTGACTAAATCGTGACAACATTAATACGTTTAAATATCATACTTAATGTATTCAATATTTCTCTATGATATCGGATGTCATATTTTCTGTCTTAAGCTTTAGTTTCAAATTTAAGTTTTAAAGCATATAAAAAGCTAAACATTGATTAAGTTGTGTTAGAAATAACTTTATTTTAATATTTAATTTAAATGTTTGTCTTGTCTTGAAACCAAGACATAATCATGCATAACATCGTCTTTATTACGAAACCTTCCATTTTTGTTCGTTATGTTACAACACAGTCAAGTCTTATCGCTGGTTAGATACTGACGTCTGTCTCTATTGATTTCTGTTTCTAGGTAAATAAATTGTAAAGTTATAACATGAGTTTCCGTGTAAAACTTCCCTTTGTTTATATTTTGCCCCAGTTTCTTAGAGCTTGAGAAATGATTATTCTGTTTACATGTTTATCTACATACATATGTATTAGTATTTCGATTTTTACAAAATTTTACCTAGTTCCATATTTAAAACTCCAGGAAATTACCATTGTTTGATATTAACAAATCATTGTTTTGAGTTCTTGTGAAACGTATTTGTTTGACAACATTTGGCGCAATGTGCAGATATTATTAAGCATGAAAAAACAGTTTCCAATGAACAACTGGAAGAAAACATCCTCTATTGACATTTCTTTCTATCGATTTAGACTTTTTTCTGCCTCAAATTTAGGGCTCAAGTCCTGGTAGGTATGAAGAAGTTTTCTTCTGTTGTTACCTATGCCAATATTGGTATTTCAAGGATTATCATAGATTTTAAAAGATTTATTATGACATCAAACGGATTTAAAAGGACGTTTTTTTCACATTCAAACTGGCATTAAGTAGAAATATTATGAAAATTAGCCGATTGATTTTCTTTGATTTAAAAATATACAAAAATCCATAGAGGGGATATGTAATTTTAATGACACATAAGTAGTCGTCATAGAGATTTAGCCACAACGAAGCAATTCTGTCTCACTTTTTATGTGTACGGTTTATTTTTCTCCACTGACTTTTTGCAGATCATTAAATTTTAAACGTAGATCTTAAACGTAGATTTTTCTCAGGCATATCTTCAACTTGGAAAGAGGCGGCACGGTTTTGTTGAAAATCTTCCATCATGAATATGAAATATGTCGAATCGATTAAAAAATTCTGGATTGTTTCGTTTGAGATATTTCTTTAACTGTATTAAATATCAATTATTATCAATATACAGGCGTCATGTATGTAGATGCATAAAGCCTATAACTTTGATCTGACTGTATGTCATACTGTTGTAACATTTTATACTGTATTGGAAATAGATGCATCATATGACAGTCTCCTTTTTGCTGTTTTAATAGTTTCTCTTATGTCACTTTTTCTTATGAAGACCCCATTCCTTTAGAAATGACAGAAAATTCAATGGTTAATTCATTACGTTAATATGATAACAATCAATTTAAGCTGAATGAATTTTGTTCATTGAGTTTTCAATTGTCAGTACATGATGTACACAAAAGATGTCATTTTCAATGTCTGAATTTCATGTGATATAGGAAAATCACAGGAAGCTGCTATGACAATGACAAAGGTTTAGCAATGTAATTCTGATAAAGGAATGCTGTTATATCTAAATAAGATTGACTCCGTACAATTGAAGTAATGAACACACAAAGATATATTAAATATCACCATGATGGCTTATTAATCAAACAATATATCACACACTGGGAACATGGCGTATCTCGGGAAAAGCTGGTATTTACTTTTCCCTTGTGGAGAGGAGATATTAAATTTCTGAAATGTCCTTTGTTAGGACCAAGGCGATATAATCCAGATTCTTTCTGTATACCTCCTTAGTTTACAGGTGATTAATAGACTTCATTTAATGATTGGAATTGCTGTAAATCAGCACGAATTTTCCTGCGATATACTGGAATCTTTTAAAGGAGTATAGATTTGTCAGTCTACTTATCTCGTGGTAACACAGGAGTACAGACAGGCTAGTCTGGTTAGCTCAGTGTCACACAGGAGTACAGATAGGTCATTCTGGTTATCTCGTGGTAACACAAGAGTAAGGCAGGTCAGTCTTGGTAGCTCAGGGTACAGACAGGTCATTCTGGTTACCTCAGGGTAACACGGGAGTACAAACAGGTCAGTCTAGTTGGCTCAGTGTCTCACAGGATTAAGACAAGTCAGTTTGGTTATCTCGTGGTAATACAGGAGTACAGACAGGTCAGTCTGGTTACCTCAGGGTAACACAGGAGTACAGACAGGTCAGTCTAGTTGGCTCAGTGTCTCACAAGAATACAGACAAGTCAGTCTGGTTATCTCGTGGTAACACTGGAGTATAGACAGGCTAGTCTGCTTAGCTCAGGGTAAGACAGGAGTACAGACAAGTCGGTATGGTTATCTCGTGGTAACACAGGAATACAGACAGGTCATTCTGGTTATCTCATGGTAACACAGGAGTACAGACAGGTCAGTCTTATTATCTCGTGGCAACACAGTAGTACAGACAGTTCTGTAGTCTAGTTGGCTCAATGTCTTACAAGAATACAGACAAGTCAGTCTGGTTATCTTGTGGTAACACAGGAATACAGACAGGTCATTCTGGTTATCTCATGGTAACACAGGAGTACAGACATGTCAGTCTTATTATCTCGTGGTAACACAGGAGTACAGACAGTTCAGTCTAGTTGGCTCAGTGTCACGCAGGAGTACAGACAGGTCAGTCTAGTTGGTTCAGTGTCACACAGGAATACAGACAGGTCAGTCTGGTTATCTCGTGGTAAGACAGGAGTACAGACATGTTAGTTTGGTGGTTATCTCGTGGTAAGACAGGAGTACAGACATGTTAGTTTGGTTAGCTCAGGGTAAGACAGGAGTACAGACAAGTCAGTCTGGTTAACTCATGGTAAGACAGGCGTACAGATAAGTCAGTCTGGTTATCTCCTGGTAACACAGGGATAAAGACAGGTCAGTCTGGTTATCTCGTGGTAACACAGCAGTGCAGATAGGTCAGTCTTGTTAGCTCAGGGCAATACAGGAGTACAGACAGGTCAGTTTGGTTTTCTAAAGGAGAAAAGTTTTTTATTTTAGATATTTCAAAAGCTAATATGTGTGGCATGATTGTACCTTTCCAGACAGTCAAATCATATCCGATTCTTCCTGTCACAGTTTTTATTTTTTTTTTTATTAAACAAGCTACTGTCGTGTTGCCATCTGTAGACAATCTACACAGAGACTATGGAAGGTGACAGAGGACATTTATGAATTAGTAATACTCTTCACACTGATATCATGAAAAAATAAATTGCATCATATTTTTCATTAATATCATTATTGACAAGATTGCAACACCTTTGTATTCACTAGTTACACGTAAAGTATTCATGACTTTGATTGATTAGTAATTTCAACGACGAATCATCCTGTCGAACATTCGCCGGATTTATAAATTCTGAACTCACGTTGCTTATTTTTCATTATTATTATTACTAGAGTTTCGTACAGCGGTTTGCGGAGGTGTTATGTTGGGTACTTTATTAACCCTGGGAGGAAAAGACATATATTGAAATACATAATAAAATATCAAGCTAATCGGGATGAATATGAAAGATACAATATCATTACAAAGAATTTTATATTGCATTAGTATCAAAAATACGCAATACAGCGATACAAAGTATCGTTGAATGTACCCATGCCTTTCCTGATTTGGAACAATGATAATGATACTAATTGATGGATACACAAACAAAGTACATACTCGATGTAGGTACTTGTCATTCTATCGAACACAAATATTCTGTGAATACATTAAACGTTTATTGTGAAAAACACCATATTGATCCTTACACCAAAGCGAGGCACCGCCATTTGTAACATTTTATTAACTGATTATTTATGACTAAACTTCCGGTACGTGGTATCAAAGTTGCCGCTTTAAGACCTTTGGAAACATTTCTATGTATGTGTCATCTTAAACATAATAACAAGAGTATGTAGCGTATGAGTGACAAACATTTAAATAAACATGTTGGTTTTGAATATGGAAGTTTTGTAATTTTGGTAATCGATCAATTATTCCAGACATGAACTGCAGTAGTGTTTATGATATCCGATAGACCACAGATGTAGTGTCTTTTCTCTATAGAAGAACTTAATAAAACCGCAATTGAGAATGATATATGAAAATATTGATAGAGTGTCATAAATGGACGCGTTTGAAAGCTCATTTTGAGACCGATAAGCTCTTATAACATCTATGTAAATCAAAACATTATTTTATTGTATAAAAATCAGTTCAGAGTTTCCATAGTACCGACATATTTCTGCTCATATCCTAGTCATCAGTACTTGTGTTATTTAAGTAGACACTTTGTGAAGATATGAAGAAAAAAGGGTAAAAAGAAATAAACATTGCTTATCCTCCAAGTGAAGTTTAAAGGAAAGCAACATGAATTCTTATGAGGATCAAACATGCCCGACTTCACATAGTAGACGGGACATATAGAAACGAAAAAGTACAGGAAATAAAAACTAAAGCACGAAAAAAGGTAAATTAATGCTTTTAAAAAGACATGCGAGCGAATAACACCTTTTAACGCAATTTTGAATTATAGTCAAATAATGAATTAACCTGCATCATACAGCTGTTTCATCCTAGGACTCCTCAGTGTTGCTTATAGTCTGATGCAACATATTTTTGTCTCAAAACAGCTGTTGTTTTCGGATATATTTCCTACAGACTACAGACAGGTTTCATGGGTTTACTGTTATGATATATGTCCGAACCTAGTCCGTTTGAGAGGACATGTTTTCTTCAAAATGAAAAAAAACTCTCTCAGATATATCTTAATATATCACATTTATAAATAGTTAAAGAATATCAAATAATGTCATATCTTACGATCTCTACGAACAAATGACATCGGAATCACTATTAATGCTGATATGAAACTGGGTGTTTTTGACGCTCATTCATCTGTTTCTTCATTCTGTTGTTGAATACCTTGTCCTAATTTGAGAGCGTGGCATCACTTACTTGGAATGACCAAAAATTACATGGTGGGTGTAGTCGATGTGGTAGAAGTTGCTTCCTCTTCCAGAACACATGGTCCTATTCTCCCTTTAATTTTTCCGGAGTCTCCATGGAAATCTTTCGTTTGTTCATATTTTGGCCTATCTAATTGATTTTCAGTTTTAAGTATAATTTTGATCACTTGTTGGTACTTTCGGTTTTTGTTTTTCTATTCTTGTATTATATTAAACTCATACCTAAAACATGGCAGGGCCATGGTAGAAGTTGCTTCCTCTTCCAGAACACATGGTCCTATTCTCCCTTTAATTTTCCCGGAGTCTCCATGGAAATCTTTCGTTTGTTCATATTTTGGCCTATTTAATTGATTTTCAGTTTTAAGTATAATTTTGATCACTTGTTGGTACTTTCGGTTTTTGTTTTTCTATTCTTGTATTATATTAAACTCACACCTAAAACATGGCAGGGCCCATTTCATTAGGACTGTTTGTAGGCATACTAAAATAAAAAGTTTGTTTTAGCGATTCCATGCATAGATAAAAGGTTGTTTTAACGATTCGAAGATGATATGATAGACATAAAATTAGACAGGTAAAACTGTCAATAGATATCATTTTGAATAAGTTACTTTTAAAAAGATCAGATAAAATATTTGTTCACTTTGAGGACCCGTCTTTTATAGAAAATATCAATTTAATCATGTTAATATCATACTGGATTACACATTTTTTATCTTAATTATAATATTTAAAGCAGGAAAAGAGAACATCTCATTATTCAATCACTTTTTATGGCATTTCATCAACAACATGTTTTTTTATGGAATTTTCCACGTGTCAGGTCCCATAATACGACATATATGTACATATATGTACAGATACATTTGTGTCGCTTCAATTTTTTAATCCAGGATTTTGGACTATTTTTATTTTATTAGTCACCATTAAATGACCTCATAGTGATTGTTTCATTGTTTCTTCAGTAGTAAACCGTTCTGGTTCAGGATGGGGGTCTATTATGTCTCCGAAGGGGTAAACATAAATATGTGAAATTAGCATAAAATATAGCCGTACATTCTCAATGGCCATAAATTAGGCTTCCAACGAGACATTAAACATGCATATACACACACTACTTATGCAATATCTTATCATTATGGTTTACCACAAGGGTAGAAATAATCTTGTGAACTCCCATACCCAAATACTACAGACAATGGTCTGTGATAGATAACCTTCAGCCAATGACAAGGTGTCTCTGATATAGAGTCCACGCAATTGATGACACCCTCGCTATACAGCATATGGATTAACGTATGAGTATATGCGTTACACTTCTATACTTGACAGGTACAAGCCCAGAAGAACTTGTCGACAAAGCCACCTTTACACCCAGTCAAGTCCGCCTCTTCTGCCTCTCCAGCCAATCCAAGGTCATCCGACTCAAGGTCACCCGAAGGATGTATCGATATAGCCAATGTAAGTACAGCCTTTAATATATTATCTACATGTAAATTGTTGGTTCAGAGGTATCGACAAACAAAGCTTTATTAGCATAGCTAAAACATGTCCATGTCTGCTTAAAGTGTAGTTTGCTTTAACCAGATTGATAAACGTTCAAGAAGTTCGTTGATACTCGAATGATAAAACGACCATATTGACAAGACGTGCTCTAAACGATTATCACATCATCAATCTACTATTAAAGCTTCAACAGAGTTTATCAGCAAGAACTAGATAAGATATGGACTTTAAGTTTTGATATGTCAAACTGACAATGCTTCAATAAAAATTGATGTGGTCTTTGAGGCTAATCAGTCAATATTCATTGACTTTTGGGTGATATTACAAAGTTGACCCACCCTACATAGTCATTTGTGGGATAATTTTAGACTATACAATACTAGCCACCGGTTGGTCTTAAAAGGGAGTAGATAACGGATAACATAGGAATAATAATGACAAGAGGAAATAACTCCGCTTTAATAGTGTTTGATTCTGCAAATAATATGTAAGTAAACATTTTTTATCCACTGAATGTATCAATATGATTTAATGGCATGAACCTCTATTATTAACACCGACGAATATATCGTATATCACGAAAGCTTAATCACAACACAAAGAAAATCTGCTATTTGCCTGTCCACTTCAAGTCGATTATTAATTTTTTCCCAATTTACAGTGTAATGACGTAGAATGAATTGATATAAAATGAAAATTGATTCACGCTAGGGAGGTCACAATATATTTTTATGTATCATTAAAGCTTTATAAGGTAGGCTGTATCATTCAATTACTATAAGCCATGTGTCAGATAAACTACATATCAGTGAATTTACATGCATGTTAATCATTATGATAACGCAATCAATGCCGGTATACTTCATTTCAACGCTTGTATCAAGTTCAAAGAAAACATTAATATTTACAACTTCGCTGTAATACGAAAATAAATGTGGTAATACAAACAAATCTAAAAAAAGCATGTAATCACAGGTCGTTCGTCCTTAATCCATATGATTAAATAATGCTATAGACAATAATCCGACTCTTTTCTAGTGAATTCCAGTGTAATATTATTGTGTATATGTTACCAGGGTAATATCATGGAGCGTTTTTCATTGGCTGCAATAGTCAGAAATTGATTGGATGTCTTTATATAGACAATTTAGTTATGTCATGAATTAAAAATGACTGCCTCAGTTTGATTTTGTCCATCAAATTTTGACTTCAAGACCTGTCAAAATGTAAGCGTTCTGATTTATGTGATGAAAATATCTGGTTTTCATTTCATGTTTGATTTTATCGAATTCGTCTCGAAATTGTTATTTTTGCTCGCCAAGGCTTGTGAAAATAAAACTTCTATGAATCAAATTTCTTAAAATCTCAAATAAAGATAAAAGTATAAAAGTATTGTGGAAAAAAACTGTATTTTGAATCGTTTAGCTAAAATGATTTTTTTTTAATTTGATGAAATGTACACACATAAAAGTAAACAGAAATATGCGTTGAATTAAACTATAAAAGTAACACTGACCTGGGACTTAAATTACACACAAGACTATAATACATAATGTTAATTAGACCACCATCTAAACTTCATCGTTTTTGAAATCCATGTTGAACTTTTTCCAAAAGTTCTATTGTTACTACTTATTACCAATAACGACGCCATTGACAATCTCTATATTTATTCATTAATCCGCTATTGACCGATTGACCAAATGAGTTATACAGTTATAATCCGCAACCGGAAAGTTAAACGAATTTATCGAATATTAATACAGGACACCATTTTTTACTACAATCCAATTAAAATGTTTGGTTATCACATCATATTTTCTTTGTTTCAATGTCTACGTGTTTGTCCTTTTTTAAATCAATATCATGTGTCCCCTCGCTTTTGATTTGTATATATATATATCTGATCCATTCTTTGGCTGGTTAAATAGGTTAAGTGATGTACTTCCCGTGATAGATTCAATGTGTTGGTAAATAATTATAACATATATGAGCCCCAGGCATCGAGAGAGTCATATATTAAGAGATTGTTATAATTGAATTGTATAGAAATCCACTTACATACACTTTCTCTCTGTTGTAGTACATTTTCGGTTATGAAACTTGAATAACGAAGCCAATCATATCACGTCAAAAGTCTCTAATAAAAACATAAATCGGTATAGTTTTCTTAAACGATATTGTCTCTTGTCCTTGTAATCACTAGTCATGATATTTTCATTTTCTGCTTTGAAAGTTAAACGGATTACCGGGACCCCATAGGAACTGTGAAAGTTATCTTTGCTAAAGTAAGGTCATTCCCTGAGGTGTGCGTTATTGCTTTACAATTGTAAGAATCAAATAGATTCTTCTACACATGACTCATAGAACCAATTAAGTTTCTCTTCCATCATATTAATATTTCAAAGGTATGCATTCTTGACAAGTTTTATCAGTTACGATTTATTTACAATGTATGTTATCTGTTACATAACCGTACAACTGTTTCTCTTAAAATATCTACGATTTTTGCTTCTACGTCTCCTGACTTAATGATATTTGTTTAACATTAATCAATACAACAAACAAAGATCCGATGTTTGTCATTGTTTAACTGTAGAAAATGATATTTATACTTTCACATGCTCGAAATCGATGTTGTTTTACTTGAAAAAATGTAATATTGATTCAACGCAAACGTTTGGCTTGGTGGATGTTTTAATTATGCTGAAACAATTACATACTCGTAGAGTAAAATTCTGTTGGAATTCTCACACATTGTCTTCCTCTAATGACCTCTTAAGGACTGTTTTGATATCACGTAGAACCTGTGTGACAGAAATTAGATAGGAAATTATTTTATGACTGATTAGCTACAGTTTCATCTGAATGGTTTAACTATAGAATTTTCATAATCAAGTCATGCCGAGGTCAATAATAATTGCACGTGTTTATTTACTAAATTATTACAATGTTTTGATATCATACTTGATAAATCATTGAGCTTTTAACCTCCCGTATTTGAATGATTTCCAAAGTTGTTTTCAAATGTATCTCTTTGATAATGCAGTTCACATCGCAGTTTAAGGAGACAGCTCTTTCTGTTTGATTTAAGAAAATAATCGTTATGTCAATATCACTATGCATACCAATACGAAACAGGTATTATGTAGTTGATATTGTTCGTCCCTGGCGTGCATTTTTTTTCTACTCATAAATTGCTGAAAATTGTTTGTACAAGGAAAACGTTTGTTAAATATCAAAAGATTAACTGAAAGTAACATAAGGAAGTGGACACGATCAGGGCACTGGGTACACAAAACTAACGCTAATATGTCTAACCCCTGTCACCGGTAATGAGCATTTGCATCTATGAAAAGAGATATTCAATATTTGTTTGACAAACTTGTTTAGTAGTTCAGACTGCTGTATAAAAGCTGAGGTGAGGGTATACAATTACACGTTCTGTATTGTATCAATGTAGAATTTAACCTTACTTGCAGTTTTGTGCTCCGTTTTCAGACGATGATTACATATAATTGAAGTTTAAGTAAGTGTAAATCGTTCCTGATAATATTTTGATAGACTGTACATAATTTTGGCATGAATACGTCATCCTGATGGCCTATTGACCGTTGTTGATTAAGCGGATTATACCCCGGTCGTGTACAATCGGTACACACCATAAGACCTTCCCCATATAATTACCCACTCCTTTACCATTCTGGTCACTATGATTCAAAGGTTTGATTTACATTTGCTATAAAGAACTTAATCAGTAGCATAAGTGGACGAAAGCAATATGTTGAGGTGGATATTTCACTGCTATGGTTAATGGCATTTAATTGAGATCACTAGTCTCGGGACAGGTGAATCTGCCATTTTGATGTCCTTTTATTGTGAATATGCGGAGCAAGGATCGTTAACAGGTAGATATTCACTATTATTTTCAGTGGTAAAATTTGTGTTATGCTCTGGTGGTTCAAAGTGAAAACACCTTTCATTTAAAAATCAACTGAATTATGTACTTATTATGTCTTTTACAATAGTCAGGGGAATATCATTCAGAGGGCTTCCCATTGGTAATAACCACAAGTGCTAGTTATGGTTTGGACAGCAATCTGATTATAGCTAACATGTACCGAGCGATGTATTCCATGTATGCTTCAGAGGATAACTGATGGCGCTCCGTGTTTCGATGTCGGAACACAATTTCTAGTAATTGTGATATCTTGCATGAGTATCAAAACTGAATTGGATTGGTACTTTGCCAACTATCGGAGATTAAGGTATTATACGAAGCTTTTAAAGAATAATACAGGTGAATGGTGAAATTATAGTCATATGTTGATATAAACGTGTAGTGGTCATATACTTACCGAAGGGAGAGGTCATATTTCATAAATGGATACTTCTTTATAATAATGGAAAGAAATCATAAAGAGAAAACTGTTTTTTTTAAATCGGACGGTACTAAGTCGACAAGGAATTATAGAAATTAAATCAAAGGCGTTTTCGAAGAAAAGGAAGATATTGTGGTATTACTCTGACAGAATGATGATTTGAAGTGGAATATATTCTCTGTATTTACAGGAACTGAGGCTTCTTGACAAGACTTTCATACAGAACGTTCAAGAGCGATTAACTAAAGATGCAATATCAAGGGAATCCCTGGAAGCACTAGTCTTGGAACACATGAGGAAAACGTCCGTTATCCGAGTTCAGGCCATAACAGTAGGCCCCGCCCCACTTACTCGGACCAGGAGTCTCAACGATGCCGTGGAAGGATACAGGAGCCAAAACTCATCAGCCGGAAGTACCCTCAGCCGGAGGAGTGAACCAGACTTCCGAAAGTACACAGTGTCTTCACCAGAGTATGAAGACCTGTGGGGCTCCAACGATAAACTCAACAACAATCGAGTGGTGAGTAGTATTTTTTATGTTTGATTTGTTTGAATTCATAACTGTTGTTATCCTTTTAGAAACAACAAACTAATGTTGTTCCAAACTTTGTCCCGTTTTATGAACTATTAACAAATCCGCATTCACTAGGAGATTAGCGATATTCGATCACCCCAGAAACATCAATATATGTTCTTTCGTAATGGCATATAAGTTTAGAATATGCGTCTTTTGTTCACTAAATACTGAGACTGCTATACTGACAAGATGAGGATAAGTTAACAAACTCTAAAACTGTACATCTTAAACAAATAATTATAATAACGTTCAGAACGGAATATGAATCATTGATAAGTTATACATATATACAGATGATATCTAACTGGCAAGAGTTAATAATTTAAAAATACAGGGTGGAAAATTTTTCGTGATTTTAACCTCCTAATAATTGTCCTTGTTATTGAGATTGGCGGTATAAAATGATTAAGCTTAATTATTTATGATAATTGAAAAGTCTTTATGATATTTCAATAACCATAAATCATGAATTACTGTTAAACTTTGTTAAATAGATAATCTGGATTAAGTTTTAGAATATTTGGCATCGTTCCAAGTAATCTTTAGACCATTGTTGATTTCTGTTGTTGTACGAGACAAACTAAACTCAATACAACACGAAGAAACAAATGGCATAAAAAAATCCATTCATAAATAAAGAAATGTCACGTGGTAGACGAGAATGTTAAAAAGCAAGTATTTTTCTCTTCGTGTTTTGTTTAAAGAATAGAAATAGAAATATTGCCAGTTGTGTATTATGTTTTCGATAGTCACACTGTTAAGTAATTATTCTTTCTGGACACCATTACACTCAGTAATCACAGGTAAAAGTACAATCACTATTTAGACGAGCTTCATAAAACATGCGTATAGCCTGTGTTTCTCACGTCTAGGCTAATAAATATATCTGTCACTAATCAGTATATTTAAATTGATAAAAACGAAATATAATCTACCCGTAAAATACATGATAGCTTTAAATGTTTGTAAATTTTAAAATAGTTTGATTTGTTTGTGCTTACCAGCAATGTAAAGTTCCATTCATATTCATGTAACCTTGATCTCTGACAGGGTATGTGAAAATATCACTAATGTGTATTCAAAATGTAGATTGGTATCGGTGTCTAACATTTGAAATAAATTAATTTACTTTTTATTTTGATATGTTTATTGAATGTCTTATTACATGTTTATGATTGTAACGTTTTAATACAGTCAATCTCAACCTTCCACTTCATCATAGGCTTTTAGTGTGTGCCTTAGTATCAACTTATTGAGCCGTATAGTTAATGTTACAGACGTGTTTGATATGGCGTTTCTGATCGAGACCCCGGTGGTCTATCCAAACAATAGCCACATACTTTATGGGCTGGTTGGTCGTTTACATACAACTATCCGAACACCACTGTTGAAACTCTAATATCGATCAGTTTGTTAATGTATTCTATAATTGAAAATACTTTATAGACAATTTTGAATCCAGTTTCCCTGATATTCAATATCTAAAATTCCATGCCATTCAGATGTCATATTTCACGTCTAACCTGCGAGAAATGGCAGGCTATGCACCTACCAACAAACGAATGTACGTATCGAAAATACTGATGACATGTGATTTAAATCATGAGAGAGTTGTAAGGTAAGCTAAAGTATACTAGTATTTTCTTTCGGTAGCAAATATAGAGGACCTACACGTTACTTTATCCGTTACAGGTACATAATTGTCCTATTAACATACGCGTGTTTAATGCTTTCAATTCTCTATACAACATGTTGAAATGCATGAGATAAAAATACAAATATATATATATATATATAAATCCATTGTTAAGAATTTCTTGAAGACGTTATGACATGTACAGCGAAAATAGTTCATGGTGAAGTTAGTTGTTAAATCCTCAATTTTATAAATTATGAAACCTCTAAATATTGATAATCCTTGACACAGATAAAAAGGTCTTCTGGTACATTATTTTAATGTTCCGCGTGCCCTAGAAAGTCGGTGATGAAGAACATGTATATTGCTGCTGATGTAAATAATTAATTTCTTCGTGTATTGATTTCAATCAGTTAAATTTTCTGGAAATGTTTATTAACTGTGCTGTATCAAACAATTCCTCCTTTATGCTATTTACGTATGTGTCTTTTGTCTTATCTCCTGAAAGGTAAAATAGCAAAAATATCTCCATTATCATCGAAATTAATTTTATCAAATTTTCCTGATAATTTAGGTAAGTTTGATCAGTGATGTGCAGTGGAACGTATCATGTTACGGTCATGATATAGTAGATGCATTGTCTTTGTTATCATACGTTATTAACATACCTTACCAAAGCGTGACAAAGTTTAACATAGCCTTCTATGAGCAGGACTATTCATTATGAAGAAGCATACAAGTAGTAATTGTTATGATAATCAAATACTACGTTTTACTATCTAAATGGGTGGAAGCGTTAACGTACATTGTGATTTAGACATATGTATGTCAAACCTACATAGAAAACACACAATGCAGTTCTGTAGATAAATTAATTGATATATTTCCTAATATGAAATAGCAAATTAAAATGACAAATGAATTTCTATCCATGAGAACAGAAGTTCATATTTTCAGATATATGATGAAAAGTGTCATGATGTGATATCTTACCTAAAAGATCACTTGAATAATGACATTAAAAAATGATATCTCATATGATTGTTGTAGGGATCTTACTTAATTAGGCATGAATTATTGACTAGTTTTTTTCTGAAGAATAATTCAACCATCAATGAAATATCAAATGGCCAAGTGGGATTTTACTCGCCATAATAAGCGTGAATTTAAACGAATTCGATTTTCCCTTGTTATCAGCTTATTTGATATGAACGCTATGTCAAGCTTAGTGCTGTACTTGTATACAGTTCCGATTCACCGAACAGAACCGTGGTGATTGTGGGAGGTAAATTAGATTGAACTACATTAAAACAGTTGTTCTGTAAAAACCTTTCTGATTCATTCACATAATTATCACAACTGTAATGTTACTTTTAAATGATTCTACATTATTCACGTCAAGTAAAGCGAGAAACAGAGAAGATAAAAATCGGAACTACCACAAACGTAAGCGCATGTGAAAGACAAGTCAAATATTTGAAAAAAAAGATAATCACACATATATAAATGTTTAATAAAAATATACCTTTAGCACTAAGTGTTACTGTGGTCTGCCATTCACACTAGCAAATTACAGTCATTATTTGGGGAATTGGTCTGTAAGCTAAAACAGCACAGAACCAGAGTATCGATTGCCCTTTTGTTTAACACAACTTTCGTTCAAATAAAACTTTTTTTTAATTCATCATAATTACCTAGTCATTGATTATGCTTGTATTAACCTCATAAATCACCTCTCATGAATATTCATAAGGGTGTGGTCATTTTGGTTGTCCATACATGATCCTTATCTGTTTCACACTAAAAGCGTTTAATTACTACGATTGCCATACTTTTTAAATTGTCGATAGTGATTGCTATTATTCAAAAGACAATAAAAATCCAGGGAACTAAATATTTGTCCGCTAAATACACGAAAACTTACTCCCACTCTATTCAATAAAAAATTGATCTGTTGAACAAGTACCAGTCGAACGTTTGTTTGTTAACAACTAAATAGACCACTTGGTCAACGCAGTAATTGAAATGCTGAGTAGTGTACACAGCATCACAAGACTGTTAATTGAATGTCCTTATGTCAAGGTCACTTAAGTCGACATTGGATCCTATTTCGTTATGGTAAAATGCAGTGTTGGTATATTATCAGTACAACTTATTATAGAAACTAACTTCACTTGACACCAATTTATGGTTGCTTTGAACGTGTTTTTCTGTTAAATATAACTTTTAGGGTTTTTGAAAAGTTTTAGTTACAAATTGTATAATGAAATCAATATCGGAATAGTTTCTTGTGAATTTTGACCAGATAACAGCATACCATCAAAGGGAATGATATGGGCCATGGGTACGTTTTAGAGAATTAATATCCCACATCAGGTGATAAGGTGTACCTATTCGGTCGTGTTAGTGGATACGTAACATCACATAAATCTGACGGACAATGAAACGTGTTACCGATTCCGTTATTACTAGGTATATTAGCATTACATCAGACTTCAAACAACGGTGTCGATTGTTTAATGGATTAAGGTACAGTCTGTCTCACGTAACTGGTATTTGAATAAGCATGACAACATCGTTTGAACTAAATGATCTTGCCAATTTTGAAAAAAAAATTGGAATGTTTTCTGCAGCTGCTTATGTTTAATTCTGTTGATAAAACTGATTTTTTGCAATGGTAAATTCTCGATTTTAATCAACTTTTGATTTTTTGAAGATACTGACAATTAGGTAATATAATAAAAGTTAAACTTACGAATGAAAAATTCTTTTATAAATTGCCCGATTCCAGTTATTGATTGAAATAAAATGTAACGTACAAGGCACAGAATTGTAAAACAGCTGGTTTGCACATTTACAATTTCAATTTGGTAGACAGACCTTCGACTACATTGTTAATTAATATTATGAATCGAATGAATATTCTTTGAATAACAATACTACGAGGAAATTATTAAAAGGTACCTTATCATATGACATGACATAAAGACAACAATACACCTTGATATCAATATTCATATATATTTCTTTATCAATCTATGACCCATTTTTAAATACCTGGGAGAGTGAAATAGTATATTGTATACAAACGTCTGTGTTCCGGGTAACTTATCAAATTCTGGCTGTCTTTGTTCCTACGTCACAGTGAGTGGGGGTCGAGGGTCACCACAGGGAAGGTTAGGCACCTCCCCTACATTAACGATATATATCGAAGAGTTATATTGGAGTAGGTTCCGTTCTGTTATGGAGTGCCCCCCCGCAACAAAAGAGAAATGACCTGTCATTGTGTATTGTAAATTAAGCGAAAATGTAATTTATGACGGCAGTGACGAAATGAAGTGTATGAGTCTGAGTGTTTAGGGACCCCACACTTTGGTGTTACTCACTATTTTTATACAAACAAGGATGGATGACTTTAATTGAAATTTATCAGCCGTGCGGACGTGTCTGTATAAAAAGCAGGGATATGTTCTGTGTTGAATTACTTTCGATGCAATCGGTTGTGGATAGACGTAATGTAAACAAAGTTATTCTAGCTTCAACTGTGGATAATGATACTTGGGTTTTAACAAACATAAGAATTAGAATAACACTTTTAAATTCAATTTAAGTTGTGATTGGGAATTGTTCATACTGATAGTATGGCTTGTGAAGTTCTCATTATGCCGGTAAGTATCTTTACTTTAATATGATAGGTTTATCACCGTTAATCAAAGAAATTAGACAGAAGTTTCATAAAATATTTAATCGAAATTTCCTTTAGCACGTGTGGGAATGAAAACACTAAGAATTTTATACATTAGCGAGTAGGTTCAACATATAAGCGTGACACTTTTTACAGCCTAATGGCAAGGTTTACTTTAGTATTTAGCCTATAATTTGACATTTCAATGTTCAATATATGCACGACATCTACACGATATCAATACAATGTTTACAGGCCGCCAACGTTGTCTTTGTGTACATCATGATTACATTAGGACATATACACGAATAAATGTACTTAGATTTTCCAGTGTTGTGTTAAAGTGAATTTGATCCAGCTTAAAGGTAACTAGATGGTCCGGTCACACACTTAATCCTGATCAACACAATATTCAATAGAAACTTTAAGACTCTTTCATATTTACATATTCTACAGAAGTGAGTTCATTTGGAGTCCAATGTTATATTGTTTAGCAAAATCTGAATATATTTACAGTATAAAAAAGTAGTTAACGAATTGAACACATGTGTCTTACACATAGTGAACAAACCGCCAATTGAAATTAGTCGGAAGTTGTTATATCTTAAATTATAATTAATCAACAAGTTGGCTTAGACTAACAGGTTCATTTTAAAGAGAAATCCATGTAATTATAATGATCTTGGTAACTGGATTGCTATTCGTGAAGTATTCCATAGTGTTTTGTCTACACAGTTGGATATATTATAATATTTCAAGAAGACATTTTCAATTGCTTCTATTTAAGGCAAGTTACATTAATGTGAACATTACATATCACATAGTGTTATACACTCAGCATCATATGTTCTCCATATCCGTGATAAATAGCACCATTTATCACGGAAATGGTTAGTTTATTGGCAGTAAGGGTGTAATGTCAATGTGTTTTCGGTTGATTACATTTGTGAAACATAGCAGTACTTTTAACTAGAGATGCATAAATAATTTTCATTCATTAGTCACTGCGCATTTCTATGTGATTCTTTGTTGTCGTTGATATTTCTGTTGTAGCACCACTGTACTGAACCAATGACAAAATAATATACTTTGTCATTACCACGTTAAATTGGCGTCAAAACCAACGGAATTTTAATGCATTGTTTAACTACATAAATCCTTTGTGTTACGATCATAAGCCCCGTTTGTACTATAAGCATTGAAATACAGAGGCACCCATTAGGATATTGATGTTCCCAGTATTAAAAGTTATTGATTAATGTTTCAGCGCCCCCGCAAAGAATCAGTTGTTGTATGTTTTCAGGTCCACATATCCTGTACTTTGCAGAAGATACGGTGTCATATATCTGGTTTAACAATTTCTACTTTTGTGTATTACATAACTTTGCCATAACGATTTTATTATATTATTGCAGTCCCTATTTTGAATATGTAGAAAGCATATTGAACCAGTCCTTTATATTTCTTGTTTGTTTCTGGGTTTTTTCACCTGACAAACCGACATTTGGATTTTTCAAAAAATTTTCTTATTTCGTTACAGAGTTCCGCACGTAGAAATGCACCACGTGCAGTGACCTCGAGACGGCGGTCGGGACAGACTCAGGTTCATGGTTTATCTCATATGGAACCTCTGTCTGAGGGTGTGGAAGAAAACACCATGCCAAAGGTCGAGGAGGTAAATAACAGATTCATCACAAAATCTGATGTTTCATCAATGCAAAATGTTCGAAAAGTACCACTATATTTTGGTTTGTAAACGTCGATCTTAAAAAAGTACAGACATATACACACCATTGTATAGTCACAAGGTAAAGCTCATAAGTAACAGATTGGAAAACACTTATTGCGAATTATTACTAGAAACAAAATTTGGTATATAAACATGAGAATTTATTACCTACATTAAAATGTATTTTACAACTAAAAGAATTAGCATGAAGATAGAATGATAACTGAAAAGGCAGATTTAAAGTGTGAAACATAACATTTTTAACGCGGCAGATCTGAAAAGTGTAATCGATATTCTGCCGCAATAAATATTCTAAATAAGACATTAAACAAATTTATGTGCTTAGAGTCCTTTCAGATACACGATAAAATGTTTGAATTATATAATGTCTGCTTGGTAAACAGATCGAGGGTAAGTTCAGCGTGAAGAGTCGGCCGGACAGTGGCATAGCTGTGAGTATGTCGTCAGGAAGTTACTCAAGTTACTCAAGTTCGGAAGTCGCAAAAGAGACGGACGATATCGATGAAGCTTGCATCACTGAGTCTTCCGAAATGAGAGACAGACTTGGAAAGGTAAGCGTAGTAATGTTGTAATTTTGTTTTATAGATGTTAATTTTGGATCGATTTTGAAATCTGCATTGATTGGCAGGGTCCTAAATCAGCGCAGACTTTTCAATAATAGTATTTCTCATTGCCTATAATGCAGTTACGTAATATGGATAGTGTTAAAGAGAGAGAAAAAAACAATACATTGAGATATAAATCAGCGACAATGACAACATCTGTATTTGTACCACCACAGGTAAATGCTGACTTACATAACGATATGAAGAGTTTGGCTGCTGCTATAACGAAGGGTCTGACGTCACAACAGCACAAGGCGCATGCTTTATACTACTGGTTGACCAACCTGGGAATCGCCAAATATGCTAGATCTAGCAAAGGAAAGAATACGCCTTCTGGAAAACTAAAACAGCTTGTGGACAAGAAAATAACATATGCCCAGCTGTATACTGATCTTTGCAAGTAAGTAAACATTGATGATAAGTTTATTGTAAGGTTAAAAAATTATGTATTTATTTTTCACACATCCGAGTCTTTGACTGAAAATGATGTTTTTGCCCTATACAGCCAATAGATACATAAGAAACTAAGCTGATGGCAATGTTAATCATACTTAAATATCTGGATTAAACGTACGTTATTTTGTTCTGCAGAGCGACTGGGGTTAAGTGTGAAAAGATAGATGGTTATGTAAAGAACAAAGATTTCTTGCCCGGAAACACAGTACAAACTTCCAAGTGCCAGCATACCTGGAACGCAATTAACATTGACGGTCAGTACAGGTTTGTTGATCCAGCTTATGGATCACGAAAAGAAAAATTCTTCATGGACCACTATTTTCTAACATCACCAGATGAGTTCGTCCTATCACACTTTCCAAAAGACAAGAAATGGCATTTAATGAACAACCCCATATCGCTGGAGGTATTCGAAGAAACCGTTAAGACCTGGCCTGCAATGTTTCACTTCAACATCCGACCGCTGAACATGAAGGCAGTGATTCGAACTTACGATGGAAAGCTAAGTATAACTGTATTGTTACAGAATGTTGCAGTGATTCCACAGCTGGACTACTCGGGACCAGGCCCCGAGATCGATTCGGACGCCTTGGTAGATTGTATTGACGAGGAAATAAGAGACAATGAGAATGCGGAGACGTTCCATATCTCCCTGCCAAGGGAGGGGAACTACTATTTCACGCTTCTTGGTCACGTGCTGGAGGACGAGGTAGACGTTCCCGTGTTTCAGTATAGAATCGAATACACAGACGAATTGTTATGAGACATTGTTTTGTGCTTTGCTTGTGAATGATTCGAGTGAATTTGTTGAACAATTGATACTAGTATTCAGCTCAAATTGTGTCTTCACTGCACGCTGCAACAATTAAGGACACAACGTCATGAATCTGCATTAGAGTGAAGGCGACAAAAATGTATGAAATACATCGATAGTCGGCTACTACGCCTAACTAATGTACTAGACAAAGTCGATAATTAAGTACGTTAAGAGTTGTTAAGTTTTTATGAAGCAATGTGAAGAAAAAACTTTAAGTCCTCAAGTCTAAAAGCGGACATTTTATGGCATGTTATTTGAAGGATGTTAATGAATAGATTGTATTATTGGATACGTAAATATTGCTACCATCTGTAGAGTGCATGGGATGTTTGTTGATTCTGAAAAGAGCTTATAAGATAAGATTATTTATACGGTTCAGAACCCTAAAGTGATTTTCTTCCGCAAACATGGTATAGTCCTGGTTGTTCGGCGGTGGCCGACAGATAATACTTTATCGATAGAAGTGTGCTCATCATTTAATGGTTCAAATATATTTTATTGATTCAAAAAACAATCAAAGGGATTGGGCACAAGTTCTGACAACTTACTAGGCCCTCTTCATCGTTTAATCATTTCTGAACGTAGACCTAGTCTCAATCATCGTCATCATCATCATTATCATCATTATCGTCATCATCATCATCATCATCATCATCATCATCATCATCATCATCATCATCATCATCATCATCATCTAAGTTATTTTACGAATTCTATATACAGAGATTGTCGACAGTTCATTCGTATTTTTCTAGTAGACTTTTATATCGCGAAATACTGACAGATAGCGAAAATAAGAAAATAGTGGCATCTAATAAGGATAAAATCGGAAGCTGCTGCTGATGTCATTCATTATATCCAGCAATATATCTTCGAGAATATTTTTCCCCATATTTCTTGATTTTTTAAATCTAAATTCATTTTTCATTGCATACTAGATGCCATAAGATGTGAATGTTTTGAATGATTGAATTAAGGAGAGTTGTTTCATATGCTTATTTATTATTGTTATATCTGATGTCAAAGTGCTAAACGAAAATAAGTATAATGCAAGAAAGTGATAGCGGTAATTGGTGCCATGCAATTCCATTAGAAAAATCTCTATTTTCATATTATGCATTTGAATACTTGTATAAAGCTTCGAAGTCGCGCAGTGTTATTTCACAATAATTAGGAAACAAAACGTTTTATGCTCAGTGTGGAATTGCGCTAATTTCAGTTAAAATTTTCACTGTACTGTTGAATTCGTAGGTCTATCTTACCACGAAAGTGAAAATAGCACTGCCGCGATAAACAACTTATATGCAACATCAGGGAGGGACTTGTTATCGTTAAAACAGAATACCAATTCAGTATTGTTCAATATTATTCATGTTTAAATATCATGAACTTTGTTTCGTTAATGATGATTATTTGCTAGTTTAAAATATTTAAACCATGTTTTTTTTTTTTTTTTTTTTTTTTTTTCAAATGTGATGAAAATATGCCTGATTATTATTTTTAATGAAAAAGATGCGATAATATCTTGAAACTTCAAGAAATAAAATCTGTACAAAAAGGAAGTAAATTTATTTTAAAAGTAAATTAACCGTAGATGAATATGAAAGTTGTGTTATCCCATGATAAGAACATATTGTGCTGCAATTGCATTGCAGGACACTGTTGTACAAATAAATTGTTCACGTGTGAAATCATCTAACACACATGTATATGTCTTACTAAGACACCATTGTTTGCATGCTCAAAACATATACCTCGTATATCCTGATTTTGGATGAACAATCATAATCAATTATCAAATCTAATCTGTTATTTCTGTTTGAAGTCTAACATTACGTTTTGCTTTAAAATATATCTATGTGTTATATCATATTTTTTCTAGTTACTATGGTCCCGTCATATATGTTATTTCAATATGGATAGAATGTGACACAGGTCAAAGGTCCCGTACTTGGTATGAACAACAAAATCCTACTTGATCAACATTATCTAGTCCACGCTAAATAATAAAAAATCATATCTGTTTAACTGGATTTGATAAGCCTCTTTCCTTTCCCGAAATTACTTCTCTCCTAAATAAATTTAAAGGCGTTACACTTCTCGTTTACAAGGGAGTCTGATTTCAGAAGGGGGAAATGTACAAGTATGGAAAGCTGATTATGAAATCCCACGTACGATTTAAACTTCGATATCGGAAATGTATGCATATGATTTGCATATTATTTGCATATCTCGATGTATTGCCAAGTCTTAAAGCCGGTACTCATGTTCTACCTGATATTAAAGAAATCCGAGCAATTATTTTTTTTTAATTTTTATGATTTCGGAAATATGCAAACAGTACAGTATTTCACAGAAATTTATCAACAATCAAATTATCAACACAGAAAGGCAATCAAAATATCCGGAATCCTGTGTGTTACCATTGTAGCCACGTTTGGTACAGGGACATCCGTATGAGTTTTAAGTTAAATGTTATTAAAGAAAGCACATTTTGTTTTCTCGAAATAATCTTTAGTCACTCTGGCATCCTTTCTTATCTCATGAAATGTTCGTTATGTTTGAATTCTTTATGGTCAATATAACTTACCAAAAAGCAATAGATGTTCCAATATCGTGAACTCAAGCTGGTTGTCAGGATGAAGATAACTAAAGATTATTCAGGATACAAATAGGGATCGTCCTCATATAAACTGTGATACATGCGTTAAATATTTTATCATACTATTTATTGTAAATAATTATATTTATGATATAAATTATGTTGTTGCTTTAATAAACATTATTTTGTGTAAAATTGAAATTTGTAGTCTGTGATATTTTGGTTGTTTTATGGGTTTTTTTGTGCATTTCACTTTTAAAATCATCGTGTGGAAGTCGCTTGAAAAGTGTCGTGTCTTTCAAAGGAAGTATTGTGTTCATTTACGATAAGGAAATGTTTTTATCCTTTCACATTTTGACGCACGGAAAAAATGTAACAAAATAAGACCTGCAGAGTGTTGACTTAAATTAATTAAATGTCTACTTAACGACCATTTTTTAACAAATTTAATTATTCTATCCAATGTATGTGAACAATATTGACTGAAAACATCACTCTTAAAACTGCAGTCATCTGAGAGTTTGGTTTGAAGCTAATTCGGTGTCATTTGAAAAATAACTCTGTAATAATTCATTCGTTTAAGTATATTAAGTCAGTGCGCGAATGAAATACACATACACATTCTAATATCGAGTAATCATCTTGTTTAAGAGTTATCTAATATCGCAGTTTTAGTTTTGGACAACTGGAAGTCCTGGAGTCCTACAACGACACGGATGATATAATTTAATGCTATAATGCAGTTGTCTTGCATACCTATTTAAAACCCCTGAAAGAATTCACGTCTTCAATACATCTTTGTTGTTACAAATGATTCGTGTAGATACACGCATTGTGTATTTGTGTTAAAGATACACAAGTCCGTTTGAGAAACGAAAACACTGAATCAGTTGTTTTGTAACTTTGCCTGTTTGAAATCGAAATGAGCAACTCAAAGTAAATTTCGCCAAGTCATGCGAATTATAGAACACCATGACGTCTGCCACAAGTGGTGTATGTAACCTTAGAGTAGTTGTGTCAGTTTCGGTATCTATGTGTCCATCGAAATAGTTTTGGTATTACCTTCAAAACTTCATCCAACGAATTTACATCATGCTTTTGCTGTAAAAATGATGCTATTTGCCAGGATAAGGCAAAACCGTAAAACACAATATACCTTTATATTGATTTTTTAAAATATCTGTCTAGTTTAAAACATTTGATACATCAGTGAAAAAATGAACCACTGGAAAAAACCTCCGGAGTATCTTATGACTTCCTCATATAGTGATGACAGAATCGTTTATCCAATTTATTTTATTATCAATCGATATGTGGAAAGCAAAACAAAATATAGCAGGTCTTGTTCTAGTGTCTTTATAGGTGTAGATCATTCTGAAACAAAAAGAAAATGATGATTTGACACTTATGAAGAACGTTTATAGTCAGATTTCACAAGATAACATAGAGGTTAACGCATGTCAAACTTGCAAAGGCAAAGTCACAAAAAGTCTTTATGTGATCATGAAAGCTTGTATTGTTCGTAAACATGCATATGACTCAGTGTGCAGTATCAGCACACTGCCCACAGGGATCGATTTTTTTCAACAAACCTTATTTCATCATGTACTTTACAGTTTAATCAGATTACTATTTAAAACTTCAAAATACTGACATTTGACATTTTACCATAATTTGTTAACGCTTGACCGCTTGTTATGAATAATTAGGTATTTAAATATGAACGTTATTAGCATTTCCATAATTTCTGCATAATTTTCAATATATGACATTCAACTATTTATTCAGTGGTCATTTGAAACGTTAAGAAAACATTAAAATCTAATAAAATACATTGCCCGTGTCAAAACTGATTACATTCGTTTGTCAGTTTTATAATATTTCTCAATTATGCTATTGAATTAACCAATAATTCTTTGAAATGATAACTATCAACTTCTACTCTCATTCGAAGTCAGCCGTGTGGATAATCCAATGTCTGACAGAACCATTTAGAACAAGGAGGTACAAAACACCATCTGTAACTCGAGAGGAATTCTGGAACATGATGCATAAAACCCGACCAGAGACAAACAATAGTTCAATATTCATTAGCCTTACAACTAATTATATCTGAAAAACATAAACTTACAGGAATATTGAACCAATTACATTTAGTCAAATGTAAACAAAGTCCAGTCTACAGTCAATATAAACGGTTTAAGTATATACACAATAGTGTTTGGAAATGCTGCATTTAAATAAAGAGGTCGAGGGAGAATGTCAACAAACACTACGAATTTGTCCTGTGATAATGAAATTTCAAACTGCAGTACCTGTATTTCGCCTTTCACAAAGTTAAAAT